CGAATCAGACCGTGCCTTTTAATCGCTTTTGCGGTGTTTGGTCCTTCGTTGATCGATCCTGGCTTGTTGCACCGGAACCGGGCGAGCTAAGGCGAATGAATGATTATACATCCAATATTGACCTTGCCATGCATGTCTGCCACCATCAACTTTACTGGGAGAAGAAGAATGAGAATGAACAAGATGGTTTCACATGGTCACGTTCCGAATATATGGAGTATGTGGCAGAAGAAATCGAGAAACTCCCAGTTGTAAAGAAGTTTTTGGAAAGTTTCCGCAGTGCCGATTCCGGTCCGGCCAGGCCTCTGCGAACAGAAGCAACTCCGAACGACCAAGAGCTTGGCCCACCTGAGACCGAGGCAGACAAGAGAGTAAAAACTCTCAAGGCAGAAATTTCCGAACGATTTAAGAAACATCTTGCCAAAGAGCGAAACAAGGAGCAGTCTTCCGCCTCGGAGAGTGAAGCTCCCAAAGGACCTGTTAAGGCCAAGCCTATGCCAAGGAAACCGAAGGATGCCGCCGCTGCGGCTAGCTCAGATCCAGCATCCGGCCAAGTTGATCCTGACGATGAAGTTGATCTTCAAGCAGCATCTCCCTGGGGCGGCCGCCGACAGGTTGTCAAGACAAGAAGACGCCGTGAAATGAACGCTCAGGCAAAGGATTTGTTCCGCGATGCGGACGCCGCCCAAAAGTTTTTCACTAAGTTTAAAAAGGATACAGAAGAAATTCAATGGTTTCCTCGCCCTGCGGGTCCTCAATGCTGTAAGAATTTTGAAGAATGTGGATGTTCAGAGGCAATGTTCTGGTGCCACCCTTGTGGCTTTGCCTACTGCTTGGAATGCCGCACCTGCGGCTTGTCTTGCAAACATAATATTGTTAATTTTTCCTCAGAGTTGTCCTCCGACTTTATTCCAGACAGCATCGGCTCATCCAACTCACCTTTCGACATCGAAGAACTGGTTGGTGCCGTACTGGCTGAGTCGTCGTATTTCGGCGCAACACGTCGAGAGCATGCTCAAAATCGCCAAGACAAATTCTCGGAACTGATCACGCATCTGCGTGAGGGCCGCTCAATTGGAAACACTTACCTTCAATCTTTTGCTCGTCATGGAATTGAAGATTTTGATTATACCGAATACATTTATGAAATGCCATTTGGATGTCGAATTCCGACTCTCCAGGAGCACTTTGTTGATGCCCAGGACCAGACGCCTCTTCCGATCTGGCGACCTGAGGCTTTCTTCAAGTACCCTGATGGCGGTGACCTTAAGTCAGAAGAGATTCTCCGTTTATTGGAACTCTTCAGATCGTGCCTTCTTGGTAAGAGAGCAATCCTTGGTGTTACCAAGCGCACTAAGGAGAACATCCATGAGTTTCAGAAGGACACGTATCAGCTTGGTATTTTGACTTTGAACCTTGGTCACATCAACCGTCTTCCGTATATCGGAGGTTGCGCCAAATTTCCAAAATGGGTACGAACTGACATCAACCACCGTGCATTGCCACATTTAGTGTTCCGTAATGCGGCCCATATTGTGTGCCTGTGCGAGGCGTCCGATGAGTACGGTGGCATTGCCGTCCATCGAGAACTAGCCGATGAGTACGGTATGATTGGAATGGTTGTGCATCCGCACATCCAGTCACAGTCCGTTGCAATTTTTATCCGTGGCTCACATGATACCGGCTCCTTTATTGAACTTTTGTGTCATCACCAAATTGAAACCTCTACCAAAGATGCACCCTTTTGGATTTTGCATGGTGCTATTTTTCGTGTTTGCCATGGCATGAACACGTCAGGAGAATTTGTTGATCCTTCCACTGGCGCTCGTGTTCCGAAACCGGACATCGAGAAAAATGCCGAATCTACGGTGTACCAGCACGATCGCCCACTTGCATCCTCACTCGATTTTCTTGATCACTCGATCTGTGAGATCGACGGAGATGACGACCTTGCCGTCTCCGGCGTGGAAGCTTGTGAAGTGAATCTTGGAGCCGACACTCATGACGTCCGACGTCTCATGTTAGCTGAATGCCGCATTGCGGTTTTTCATATCTCCTCATACGCATGGAGTAATGCCTATAAAGAAACGTGCCAGAAATGGCTCCAATTTGTCGCAAGCTGTATCGAACATCAGTGTGACTTTTTGTCCGGTGACGGGAATCTTTTCGCACAGCGAAGCTTTAAGGCAGACGATCATTCCGACTACCGGACATGCATTTTAATCGACATTTTGGAGCGTTTCCTTCAGCAGATTAATCTTCACCGCAGCCCGATAAACCGTATTACGTATAACGTAGTTTCATCGACCACTGCAGCCAATTACATCCGCAGTATGCGTGGAGATGATTCTGATTGTGATTCAATGCTTTTAATTTCTCTTTGTTACGGTAAGCAGATCGCTGTCACGGAAGCACGTGCAAAAGAAGAATCAGCCTCTGCCGATGGGTTTGCAGGATCTGCCTTCTCCGACGAAGTTATGCTGAACGATGTTGAACAGCTAAAACATTTGATGGCATACGACCTTGGTCTGGCAGAAAAGGACTGTGCATGGCACTCACCTCTCCTTGCTTACGCCCAGTTGAAGGCATTGAAAAATATGCGCATCCGATCCAAGGAATCTGAAGATAAAAGACGTGAAAAATGGATGCAGCGAACTCAAGGATATCTCGAAAAACGAGAAGAGAGGAGAGATAGTGTTCCGCCGCTGCGGACTGACTCTCACAGAAATGTTGGACGCACTCGAAGTCGATCGATCAGCAGGACCAGAACATATCGACCCAGAGCTGAAACACCAGCACCGCCTCCGGCACCTGTGCGAGGTCCAGCAGCAAAGGCCAGACCAGTTGAACCTGTGAAATATAAGGCTGCACCGAGATCCTTGAAAGAACCACCAGCTCCGACATCATCAGGATCTTCCTCTAGTGCTAGGCCGCCTGTAAAGGCTCCTCCAGTTCCGGCTCCCGGACGAACACTAGGTGCACAGCAGCCAAGAACGCCTCCTGATCCACCGGGACCGCCGAAGACTCCACCGCCGTGGAGAGAGAGATCTCAACAGACTGAGCAGAGGCAAACGACCAGAAAAAGGCCGATCAACGTACCTGAACCTCCGGCGCCTCCATCCCGAATATCGGGTACACAATGGCTTAACCAAGGAACAGCTTCCAGCTCCTCCGTATCTCGTAATTACGATTACAGCTATGATCAGCCATCGCACTACAGAGTAAATCCCAACACCACTCAAGTAGAATACGTCCCAGGGTACCAGATACCCAGACAGCGTTGGGTCCAGAAATATGACGGATCGTGGCTTGACATGATCCCGCAGACACCGGATCAGTCCATTTTCTTTCATCAGACCGGTGAGCTAAGAAGGAGGAACGAATTGAGTTTTTACGGTTACTATTTCACTATGGGCTTGTAGCCCCAAAAATTGCAATGTTCCGCATTTGCGGTCGCTTTCGTCCAATAGAAAATACCGCTTTCCAACAGCGGAGAGTAGCTTCTGTACAGTTTTGTTTTTGTCTTCGGACCGTCTCACAGCAGATCACAGGCTGAGCGCTACCTGTGAAACAGACTTGCATGTTCCGACACGAAGAAAATTTGTGTCTGTTTGTGATTTATTTTTGTTTACGTGTCTTCACAATGCATTCATGCATGTTGACATGTATACTTAATTCATATCTCTCATGCGCACTCCGCATGGCTCAAGACTAGCAGCAATTCCGCGTGTACAAAAAGAGTGTAGTCGCTTCCGCTTGCCACAGGTGTTTACTTAGGTTTCCAGGGCTCCCCTAATAGAGGGAAAAGCTACCTCACCCCCCCGTGGGGGCTCCCCAAGCTAGGGAATTTTCACTTTTCCCCCCCGTGGGGGCTTCCCAAGCTAAGGAATTTTCACTTTCCCCCCCCCCGTGGGGGCTCCCCAAGCTAGGGAATTTTCACTTTTCCCCCCTGTGGGGGCTCCCCAAGCTAGGGAATTTTCACTTTTCCCCCCCGTGGGGGCTTCCCAAGCTAGGGAATTTTCACTTTTCCCCGCCGTGACAGCTTCCCAAGCTATGGAATTTTCACTTTTCCCTCCCTTGGAGGCTCTCCAAGCTGCGGAATTTCAAATAGCTAGACAACGACGCCTAGATAGTCCCCCAAATCCCGTGTTCTTTGAATGTGTTTCCATGTTTTTGCAATGGTTTCCTTCAAAGCACGGTACTTTACACTTTTGTCGCCATAAAACCGGTCGAAAACATCATGTTCGACAATGCTTCCAATTCCCTTATCTCCCCAACCGTTGAAAATACCGCTATTTACAGTGTTTTCTTCAATTTTTCCATGTGCCAATGCCGGTAGCCAACTCCAACATATATATAAGAAATCCTTCCAAAACATTGTTTTTGACAGTGTTTTTCCAATGTTTCCAGTCAAACAGACGGTAATTTACACGTTTTTTGCCATAAAGGCAGTAAATCCTTCCAAAACATTGCTTTTGACAGTGTTTTTGTAATGTTTCCAGTCAAGCATACGGTAATTTACACGTTTTTTGCTATAACGTCAGTCCAAAACACTTGTTTTTGCAGTGTTTTCAATGCTCTGGCATCCAAAAACCCTGCAAAATCTTGCTATGTACAATGTTTTTTTTCATTTGTGGCCGTTTTTCCATTGCCGGAAAGCTACCAAAATGACCCAAAATTCCATTTCAATACCCTCTTGCTCTCAGACACCCAAAAATCCTCGAAAAATGTCGAAAACACCACCGTATTCTGGTCTCGGTGCGAAACCGTTTTTGGGCCCCCCCCCAGCTAAAGCTGATATAGCGACTGCTATATTAACAAATGTCATTGAGCATTTAGTGTTGCTGTTGCCCCCCAATAAGCACGCCTTCACCGCCAAAGCGGTGTGGGCGGATTTATTCAACTTCTATCCACATTTGGGGGATGAGCATCCATAAATCATCCATGAATCCCAACTCTCTTGGGGTTAAGGGTGGAAATTCTCCAGCTGAGACTTGGACGCCAAGAACAGCCCAAGCATCGCATAGCCGAACTTCACCAAGTCCCATGACCTGCGGATGCTGCACTTTCGGAAGGCCTGGGACCCTGGGAATGGTCAAAGTTTAAGGCCATGCTTATCCATGCCATGCTTCATTGCACACCATCAGGGAAGCCAATGGCAGCCGACCCCCAGACCCTTGTAGATCGCTCGCACTTGACCCGCCTGTACTCCTGTCGCTCAGCCCACTCCGCAGCAGTGAATGGGGCACGCCTCAATGGCAAAGTATCAAGAAATCGGATGATGAATCAATCAAGCATTGAATAAAAACTGAAACACCCACCCAAATCAACCAACCAGAGTCTCTTTCTCCAACATCCGCCACCATGTTCCATGGCCATGTTGCCCTGGGCCCCAAACGGATCAGCAGTGAGACGGTCATGAGTGTTGCCCGGGCGATAGTCGCTGTTGTTGGGTCCCTCATACCTGGCGCAGTGGATCATCGGAGGCATCGTTGGATCATCGGGGCATCGGCTGCTTCCGTGGTCAACAGGCTGAGAGACCATCGGCCGTAGTGCATGGTACCACGCTCCATCTGCCTCAGTCGCCATGTGGCCAGAGGCCTTGCATTTCTAATGCTGTGGCTTCTCTTTAAACCCCATGATGAAACGCCCTGAGATGACGAAACAAGCCAGTTTGCAAAGCAACATGCTCAGAGTCGCGTTCCAAATATCTGCCAAGTTCAACCAAGTTCTATTATATATATATATATATTAATCTATATTAATCTATATTAATATTATACCAATAACTGAGATGGTTCCACTCTTTCAACCGCAAGGCTCCCTAGGTCCGTCCGCACCTACGCCAGTCCACCGCAGGCTTGCGGAACTTCTGCGATGGGACGAAACTGGCCTCCATGTCCTGCAGGGCTGCCGCCATCGAGGATGGGATGGTACCCCAGCAGGAGGGCTTACCCTCTGGTAAACTAACATACATAGCTATTAAACATTGCCATTTATAGTGGATTTTCCCATTAAAAATGGTGATTCTCCATAGTTATGGGACAGTTTACCAGAGGGTATTTCATGGAAAATCCATGAAAATCCCACCTATATCATCCTATATCCATAAATGGATGATGAATTGGGTTCCCCCATGACTTTGGAAACCGGACAGACATCATCTCGTTTTATGTTGGTGTCAGAAACGTTCCACTTTTACAAGTTCTCGGGATTTGACGATTCTGCTGCAAAATCCCAAGTCCTTCCAGGCCAGAAGGTAGCCTCACAAAAGAGTTTGGGCATTCCACCCAGTGCAGGTCGTGCCAGCAGACCAACATGTGTGAAGGTTGATATGAAAAAGATTGAAAACGTCAGCCTGTGCATCTAATATATCTCCAAGTTGTTTTCATTGTGTGATTTGGGTATGCTGTCTAGCTCATGCAGGTGGGTACATCAGTTTTGAAATCTGCATCTAAGCAGGAACTGCTAACCAAATCTACTGGTTTCGCATAGTATCTATACAAACGGCTTCATGCTCCCATGAACCCCCCAACTTGTCTTGACCGCCATCTCTGAGGAAATCCTTCACTACCTACTCAAAGATCCTCAAAGCCAAACCATCCCGCGTCCAACGTGGCAACGTGGCCTTGCCACGTCTTGTGTTGACTGATTTGCTTTTCAAATGCGTCATTGCTGCTCTTCACCTGCACCATGGCGGTTGCAAAAATTGCAATTTCCACTGCTAGAATCATCTTTGGAACGCAAATGTACCACGTCCATCCACGTCCTGGCCCAAAGGCCTGGTATTCTTTGACTCCCTGCGGCAATCTAGCCCAAATCTTGTCCTGGCACAAATCTGGAGAGCACCATCAACATGTTTTTTCAATGGAAAACATGCTGAACCACTAGGGATGGATTGGTTAGAAATGGAACCTAGTAGTATTGTAAAGAAGACAAGTCAAGACAAGTCTCCTAAGTCCTAAGCAGTTGTGGATTCTCTCTTGATATCCACGGATCAAAGAGGCTCCTTGTAGCCAGGGAACATCTTGTCGGCGATGCCGCCACCACCGGCCTCAGAGATTCGGATACACTGCAGCCCTGTGTATGGACAAGTCTGATACAGTAACTGAGTATAGTCTGATATCTGCAATTACATAGTACATCCATGGTCCATAGATGTCCATAGTATATGCATATTATATATATATACACATAGTATCGACTAGCAAATACATGGTATATACATTATCTGATCATTATCTACAATTGCACAAATACAGGTCGCAATACAATGTACCTACAGACCACACGCATATGAGCTAGATGCATACATAGCAATCAATAGGTCAAAAGGTACATGGCCTTTGTGTGCTTGTGAGACGCACGGAAACATTGACATTTGCTGTGATGGCAGAGGCTTCTTGATTTGGAAACAGAATGTGTCTGATCATTGATCCATCATTGGCCATCTGCCCCATGCCAGTAGCCCTTTCAGTGTCAATTTCCATCCCAAGAGTTCGCAGAGTGAAACTGCAGCCAAGTGGCACGAAGAATACCTTAGACAACATAGGAATTGGATGGTTCAATCCTTGCCCCTTGCCCAACCTTTCAAGGTGAGATCGTTTCCATCCAGTCTCACTGCCAAGTTACGCGAACGGAGAAACATGTTGGGCCACTAGTGAGTCTAATACGGGCCGAGCCAAATTTGTGGCTTGAGAGAAAGCCACCTGCGGTCACCGCCACTGCGAACCGGACGGTCAGCAAACTCTGCGGATGATATCGTTATACATATATATATATATATTTATTTATTTATTAAATTATATATATATATATTAAATTATATATATATATATTTATATATATATATTAAATTACATATATATATATATTTAATCATGTATTTATTTATTATTGTTTTATTTATTTATTATTGTTTGCCAGTGAGTGGAGAAACTGGAACACCTAACTTTCGGCCCTTTTGACAGCTTCACCATGTCTTCCTATTTTGGACCTTGGAAACTACCACACTCCCCAGACCTAGATTTGGCGGCTGCCAGGAGACATCAGAGCGGCGCAACGTGGAAGCGGTGGAAGAGATACCACCTGACTGCAATCGGCCTGGATTTACCAACAATGGGTCATCCAACTCCAAAGAATCTTAAAGAATCTTAGGGGATCTAACATCCAACATATCCAACAATTGGATGTGATCCAAACAATCAGTTCCCCCAACACAAACATGACATTTACCAACATTCAACAACTTTGGGTCCAGGATGGTGGCCTGTTGGCTGTGGTAACTGCGTCTGCCCAATGTCCTGACGCAACCGCAGCGGCTCTGAAGCCAGGGTCTATCCGACTGAATGTCGCTTAGTTGTTTGCCAAGATCAATGGATCGTCAATCAGCATCAATAGTTTGTCAGGAGTTTATCAATAACCACATCAAGAAATCATCAAGGAAACATCACTAGTAGGAATTAAACAGCAATGCCAAGAACAACAAGAAACATGCTTAGTTACAAGAACAATAATGATGATACTAACAATGATAATAAACATGATAATAACAATGATAATAACAATGATAATGACGAGAACAGTCAAAGGATAAAGCAAACATCCGAAGTGCCTCGGGTTCCACCTTCGCGGGCGTTCGCCGCTCATGCGCCTGTCGAGTGCTGGATGTATCCCAAAAACCAGTGGAGTGGAATCTTGGATGATGCAATGATGCACCAGGAATTTGTTGTGTGTGGGAATATGTACTTATGTATAATATATATATACATATATATACACACATATCCATACATTACATTGCATTGCATTGCATTACATTATATCACACTACGTGGCATGACATTGCATTGCATTACATTGCATTGCATTACATTGCATTACATAATTACATAATAGTAATACACGTACAATTTGCATCTGTACTACATTTAATATTGATTTAGTGTCATACATTTGCTTCATCTTCTGGAAGGTAAACCTCAAGTCAAGGCTCAGTGATTTGATGCGCTGGACTAAGCTTCGCCAGCAACACTCCCTCTGGCAGTAGCTGCGGCTGCGGCTGCGGCACAACCATGGGGCCTACCATTCGAGTCCGTTCCAGGAAGCGCCGGATAAATTGGAGAAAATCCCGCCGAATGAATGAATAAATGGATGCTTAAAATATCTCAAAGTATATGCTTCCGTAGATAAATCCACTGATCCAGACAGGTCCGCTTCACCATCATATTGTCCAATGGCAATGCGGTCCATAGGAGGACACCCACCTGCCTTCCACTTCTGGTCCTGCCGCAAAGTCTGCAAGGTGTGAGTCCGGTGTGGAAAGATACTCGGACTATAATGAGTCTTTTGTTTAACGCAGCTTCACCAAGGAATGTCTTGAAAAGGCTGTGGAGGGGAAAATGAGTTTCACAACAATTCGAAGTGCTGTGCAAAACATGTTCACTACAAAATCTACAGGTGTCCCTCAAGAGTGTCTTCCTGACATTTCACAAAAGTGCTTTGCTTTGTGACGGATTTTCGGTTTGGAGTTGATACGGGCTGACAAAGCACTATTTCTGGACTGGTGCAATGGCAAATCGTTTCGAACAGGATGAGCGCTGCAGCCTTTTTCACTCCGCGGCTGGCGGGAAAAAATGGCGGTCTTGCGTCTGTTGACAATGCATCGCAACGAGTTCGAAGATTGTCAGGACACGCTAATCAGCCGAGGAAATAGGATTGCCAGGGTGACTATTCAATGCAGGAAGTTGGTGGTCGGAGTTCTGGGTGTACCCTTGTGGGTCTTGACAAATGCACAACCTGACTGGTGCAAGGAACTCATGCGCCATTCAGAATTTCTGCCAGTTCCTCATCTTCGAGGTATCCAGCCTTTGCCGAGTTGGAGAGGGCTGGGATACACCAAAAAGATAGGGCTTTGACAAGCTATGTAGCACATACATCTTCAAGGGCAGGTGCTAACTTCCACATTCGGAGTAGCTTTCGTTTCAGCCAACTCAGCCAAACATATATACTATGGTTGCCCCAATTCCATGTATTTTGATGAAGACGGCTTCCAGTCCTCCATTTCCCTACACAATTCAGCACCGGTCTGCCCTCCTCATCATCCACCATGCGAGAAAAACCGCGAAAGTCCAATCCGCGTGTTGGGTCGCAACCCACCTCCGTGCAAATCATCACGTACTCCTTCACCAGGGCTGGGGTGGGGGTGTCGAGATGTGTCGAGTGTCTGCTCCGCAGTTTTCCAGATCAGTATGTTGTGGACACTCAAAGATACAACGTGCCATATGCAAAATCAACTTGTCTGCATGCTGTTAATACTATGCTTATATAACTTAGGGCAACAGCGCTAGTATTTTTCAAGTCGTGTGAGTCAGTGGAAGTAGAAGCCACGATGCGCTTAAAAAACAGGTCTCTTTTCTGCAGGATCGTGTTTCATCACCGGTCTAAAGTTCTTGAGGAATATGACCTGATGCCAGATTGCTTTTCTGACAACTGATAGAATCTGATAGACAGAAACAAAAGGTAAGTCTGCCTCAACGCCCAGGAATTCACCACACCAACAAGTTCCAATTGATAAGTCGCCTCACCCTGGCTTCGTTGATGCTGGCTGGCCCGAGTACTCTACCTACATTTCTTCATGTCAACTTCCAGCTTCCCAAATTACAGTATCCCTTCTTAGATTCTTACAAATCCATACAAATCCTCAAAATGGAGTTGGGCCCCACGGCCCCACTTCATCCTGGCTCCATTCAGAGTCGCTGCCCTCGAAGCCCATCTCCGTGGCGAACGTCTTCAACTCTTCGCTGTAGAGGAAACCATCGCCATCCACGTCCTCACGGAGATGATCCCCACGTGGCATGCGAGTCGTGGCCGCTCTGTTCCCGTCGTGTTCCATGGCAAATGTCGCTGTTTGAATATGTTGGAATCGCTTGGAATGTTGAACCATCATCTATTTATCATGTTCAACAGTAACATTCCACCTCCAAACATATACATATCTGCAAGATTCTGATCATATATGAGATTTTCTTGATATCCTGGACAGGTCCTGGAATGTCCTGGACACCCACATCCCTGCTCTCAGCTGCTTCCAAGCATCGAAGCGCTGAAAGAGGTCCGTCTTCATGGAATTCCGCGACAGCGCGCCTGCCGCTTCCCCCGAGGCCATCGCTTCCAGCTCCTGATCCGTAATAGCTGGGGCCTGGAAGAAAAGATACTAGAAATATCAGTATTGTTTTTGGACATGACAAGCCATCCCTGCTGTAGCTCCTGAAATATATATATATAATATATATATATATTAATTATATATACATATACATATGTACATACACTGAGTCAGAAAGGACTGGTGGACAAGAAACAAGAAGGGATAATTGCACATTGCTAATAGATCCAACATGTTTGTGGGTTGGCAGATTGGTGAATTCAAACCCAAGAGCCCTTTTGCTCAAGTTGGCCAAGGCCACAGTCCTTCACAGCAGACTGGTCGCCTCCAATACCCCGCCAGAGACGCTGACGAACGTCCTGATAACTGCCACCGAACTGTGTCTTTGGTCTTGTCAATGTCCTGTTTACCTTTGTTTCCATTGAATGTCACCCTGAAATCTTTGAAACACTCATCACTTTCATGCAAGCTTGTCTTGCTTGCTTGGTGAAGATATACGTATCGTGTAGGTATGAAATGGTATGAATACATGGCAAATACACGGATGTTTTGACCCATGCCCATAGCCAAATCGTGTAACTAAAGGTGTCACATACATAGACACAAGATATATATATATGTGTGTGTATGTATGTATGTATGTATGTATGGATGGATGGATGGATGGATGGATGGATGGATGGATGGATGTATGGATGTATGGATGTATGGATGTATGGATGTATGGATGTATGGATGTATGGATGTATGATGTATGGATGTATGGATGTATGGATGTATGGATGTATGGATGTATGGATGTATGGATGTATGGATGTATGGATGTATGGATGTATGGATGTATGGATGTATGGATGTATGGATGTATGTATGTATGTATGTATGTATGTATATGCACACTGATATAACATACATACAGTATAACCAAAACATTCATATCTGTATATGCACAACTACACTAGTGTATCATCAATATCCAGCACATCATCTACAATAATCCATATATACATACAGTAACAATACATGTGTATATATATTATTATTATTATTATTATTATTATTATTATTATTATTATTATTATTATTATTATTATTATTATTATTATTATTATTATATACATATATATATGTTCTATCATAACATATAGGTGTACATATTATGGTATATATTGATAACACACCTATATATATAACTAACATCAGATAACAACATAACCACCACAGGTGACAGCTTGGTATCTTCCCCCGGATCTCCTCGGGGATGGCCTGTGCCGCCGAGGAGATGTCATCCGCCGTGTCTTTGGTCTCGGCCAGGGATTTCATGTCCTTGGCGAGTCGGCGAAAGGGTGAAGGGACGGAGGATTTCGGAAAAACATGGGGTATATATATATAATTTATGGGAATACAATAATATATATATATATATTATATAATGGGAATAATATATATATATAATGGGAATACTATTTATATATATGATTATATATGGGAATTTCCATTCAATGCGAATAACTGAATAACTATATTGGAACATGGATGCTGGAATTTTCCACCATCCCATTGTGAGAGTGGTTAGGGGATATATGGGATGGAATATGAATAACCATAGCTCCGAATCTATAGCTCCCTCCTAACTGGATAGCTATGGCTGGTGATTGCAACCCAAAAAATAAAGCATTCTACACGTCAGGGTATGGCCTACAAAAACACGAGTGGTGGTCATTTCAATGCCTCCCTTCACCAGCGAGCCGCTCTTCGAGTTTGCGCAGGTTGAAAGTTCTGGAGTTCCAGATCCATCCTGTAAATCGGTGCGGCTGTTCACAGCAAAATAGCTGGTAGTTGTGGATGTCCATCCAATTCATCACCAAAAATTGTTATCAAATGGGTGCCAATTGCCATCATAACATGTGTTGACTCATCCCCATTTGATGGGTTTCAGCTAGCAATCTTCCTGGTTTCCCCCAAATGGGCCTGATGATGTCCTCAACAAGGTAGCCTTCCAAGATCTCCCAGGGGCCCTCAGATGCCGCAGCTGCCAACTGATCCGCAGTAGCTTTGTCGAACCCCACAGGTTGACATGTCATGATGTTGGCAGAAAGGCGCCTTCAGCACCCCAGAGTTCTGCGCCATTTCAACACTTTCCCTCATGGCCAGCTCCAGCAAAGGCACCTCGTTGCGTTCTCATCACCACCAAGACCAAAATGGCATCAAAATAACCAGATAGTGTTTCAATATGTTTCAATATGTTTCAATATGTTTCAATATGTTTCAATATGTTTCAATATGTTTCAATATGTTTCAATATGTTTCAATATGTTTCAATATGTTTCAATGAATCTTTTGCAGCAGAATAACTAAACATCTTTGTGGTCGTCATCACCACCAAGATTCACACAGAAACAATTGCCATGATCCTTTGGCGTACACATCATGACATGCTGATAAAGGTACCAGTTGGGCTGCGACAGGTTGCGATCATGGTGTCAAAATGACAGAAAGCGTCATTCTCATCGTGACAACTCCTATCTTGGCTCCAAGACACCTCCGCCTTTCTCACAAAGGAGATGGCCCGGGAAGGGCAGCCCTTGACCTCGGGCCATGAAAAAGGAATTCATCCGTTTCATCCATGCTTTCCATAACTTTTCCATACTTTTCCCATCGTCAAAATCCTCGGCTTCTTTGGATCACACTTATGTGCAACTGCCAAGATGGTCCCAGTCACAGCCGCTTCCAGGATCTCCGTTGCATCTGCATCCTCTGCGTGTCAGATGTGTCAGTGTGTCGCCGCGGCTTGTGTCGCATGTCCACAAACCATTGGGAAAGTGTTTTTCCACACTTTAGGGAAAACAGATTCAAGGACTCTTGGCAACTTTCGCAACTTCCATGTAATGTTCTTGTCCCTCCCCCTGTCCTGCGTAACAGCATGGGCTTTCTCACCGCGCTCGGGACTCCTGACCAGTAGATGTTGAATGGGGAGAATGCAGCTTTTCTTTTCATTGTCCACATGGGCGTAGCATTTACTAATTGTTTATAAAGAATGGGATGGCTATTCTTCTAAAATAGCATTTAATCATTGTTTAAAAAAAATTATAAAGAATGGGATATTTATGGTGCTGCTTGCAGTGGCTTACAAACCACAACCACTTCCAACGTCACATGCGCCTGTTGTGTTTCCACTGATTCAGCTGTGGTTTCGTCCTGTGAATCCCAAAGGTAGATGATGCCACTTCTGTGCACTTGTAGCATCTGGAGCAAGCCGTCTCGTCAACGAAAACGCCTCGCAGCTGTGCTGCCTGTGATGCATCTCTGGGTAACATATGGTAACATGGCAGTCTTCAGTTGCAGGAGGACCAATTTCAATCAGCACAATGACAACATATAAATCATATAATGACCATTAATGACCATCATTCAGGCTCAATGGAGGCCAACTCATCAAAGGAAGCGAAGTCCTGCCTGGTTCATCGTCATCACCCGCCTGGGAAAGCGGACGTCCATTTTTCGCAATGATGTCCGCTGCCTCTCGTTTCTTGTCCGCCTGAGATCTTGCATCTGGGGATGGGCCAAGATTGGTTCCAATATTGTTCCAACACGTTCCAATGACATAACGAAGTTGGGGGGCATATACTTTAGTCAGGCTGACCCTCCTTCGTCCACATCACAGTGCATATCACAAGCATCACAGCATCACCCACAAATCGGTCCAGAGAATTTGGAACCCACCTAACATATTTGCTACCCCATAGCATCATCGAGGTGGAGTGAGAAGAAGAACTGCATCAATGAGCGATTTGAATTGCTTCGCAAACTATGCAACTGCATCTGACTTGACTTTGACGGGCCGGTGTCTTTTCACCTGCAGCCTAGAAGCATCGCAGTCGGTGTACTTCAGCAAGACATTCGTTCGAGCCTCTCGAAAATCCTCCTTGGAAAAAGGAACCCGATTCTCTCCAGCCAGTTCCCAGCGCCTGAACACCAACAGAAAAGTCCCCTGAGTGCCGAGTGCTGATGATTTGAGATCTGCCATGTGCAACAGATGGCGAGAAATCATCCACTTGCACCATCTTACATCCGGGAGCAGGACCCATGATTATACCTCCAATAAACCACCAACTGGAAAGTGACAAATCCCCATCTTCAACAAATACATATCATTGTATCATCTTATCTCATCTACAGATCATTGAGTTCTCCTGAGTTTTGAAAAGGTCACAAGTCGCAACTACTTCAGCAGCTCCTTCAAAACCATGCTGGTCATCTCTTGATATTCTTCTCGCAGCTCTGCATCTGCGGGAGCCTGCCCCAGCTCCTGGGACTGCTGAATCACAGAATCACTGTTCAAACCATCTAAGTTGCCAAAGAAAAAACGTCAGCAGCAGTTTCATCCGGAACTGACCGATCAATCTTCAGATGTATCCATGTTGTTTGCAAGACCTCAACCTAAAGTGGCACCAGTTCAAAGGAATTTGAAACCATCAATCATCAAAAACCATCCCTTGACTGCTCCCTATGTTTTTGTCAAGCACAAATCTACATATTTGTCCTCAAAAAAAAAATCTGCCACCCCTGGGTCCTGAGGGCTGGTGAGCTCAACAACGCGACAATGCGCCAAACCCAGAAGATCAAACGGATTCTTCCGGCCTTTCAACGACCTGTAGGGGATCTCTATGGTAGCTGGGTAGCTGGGTAGCTGGGTTATGGTTTCTGCTTAGGGGAACCCTCAAAAGCTGAGAGACCACCGTTCCTGGAATGGGTTTCACAATTTGAAGCAGGAAGGAATTGGTTGGGAAATGTTGGACAAGTTGGGATCTCCTGGACTGATGCACCCAATCTAGTAACCACCTGACTTGACAATCATCCTGATCGGTGTTATGCTTCAAATCATCAGCTGATCACAAAAGGGACCCATAATACGAGCTATCCATGATTTGGATTGTTATATGTATATATGTATATATTTATATATACATATGAAACGACTTCTCAAACTTTGTTCGATCTAAGGCCCTTAAGACCCAACCTCCCCAAAAAAGGGGAAAACAAAAACACTAAAGCTCTAAAATCAGCAGAAAAACCCAACTCCTCAGCATCCAACAGCCATCCCGGTCCAGGGCGCTTGCTCTTGGCCATGGCATACTCCAAGAGCGCCACGAATCTCCGCGACACCTTGGTGATGGCCTGCTCCGGACAGCCCAGCCTCGAGAAGTGCCGAGGCTAGGTATGCGACCTTTGACGTGTCAGACTGGAGTATCCAATCGTGAGTACATGTATATGTATCATTGTACATATATGTATATGTGTATATGTATATATATATATATATGTTATGCATATCTATTTATATATATATATACACGGTATAGGTGTCATGTATAGTTCTATTTGCAATGATTAAACATACACTAGAGATCATCTAGATTCTATAGATACCATAGATACTATAGATACTATAGATACTGCAGTGTTATGCCATTGGATCTACTTATCAAAATACAGCATCTACCAGCCACGCAGGGCCACGCAACATGGCAATGTCCAGATCCGTAGTTTCGTTGCCACCTTGCATATAGACATGGGCTGTCCTGGACCGATCGCAGCGCCGCTTTCCATGGAGGTTTTTCTTGTTTCGGTGGAAGTGAACAATGGGACTGTATGGGGCATGAGGATATCAAATCACTCAAGTTTGATAAGAAGATTTCAACATCTCGCCATACTCTGCAAAAACTCTGGACATCTCTGGATTCTGGTCACATTTTGATGGGATGTCTCCTTTGGATCCGAACTGGACTTGGAAACAAACACTTTAGACTACGCAGTTCCTGGTCAGCGGATCCACTTCGAAGGTGCCGGGGGCAGCGGTCGCACATTTCAGGCAGCCGCGACAAACGCTTTCATCCACGAAGAGGCCTGACACGACGACAACGGTCCTCCTTTTCCAAAGGTTTGATCATACCTCATGATACGTTGCTGCTTCAAAATCCAGGTACTCTTATGTACTGTTTTGTTTTTTTCTGGCAAAAAACTGAAAATCCAAAACTCCACATAACTTCCCAGGATATCCCCATTAATTCCCCAACACTTTTGAGGGGCCGCCCATGGCACACCCTGCCTTCAGACATCTTGGGGTTGGCCCAGCGGCTGGTCGCCAGATCTGAGAGTTTGCTGCGACGCAGCACGGTGTCCTCTGACGTGACAAGGTGGGCTTCTGGCAGTGAATACAGTGACAGTGTGTGACAGAATATACCGTAATTTCCTAGTTCCAAAACCAGGCTCAAGATCAAAAGATATCAAGAGTGACACAAGATGATTGAACTTGAGTTTCAAACGCGGAATCGAGATGTCTCAGAATACAGTGGATTCTTGGCTCCAACACCAGGCTCAAAATCAAGAGTTGTAGATCAAGAACACCACCCTTGTGGTGGATCATTGTAGCCAAGCAGGAAACATAGGAAACCATCTGTAAGATTCATCTCAGACTTGGCCAGGTTTCGTAAGTAGATCGTTGGTCGTCATCACTCAGGGTGCGATAGGCAGTGTTCACAATAGCCTCCAGAATCAACTGTCACAAAACCGTGGGAAAGAGAAATTGAAGGTTTCTATTTTTTTTGCATGATTTTCTTACTGACACTGTACTCAACAATCTGGCAGTTCATAATGAAACCACACCGATGGGCCTGCAAATCGCCAGAGTCTGGTCCCAAGATATCCGGGTGGACCAGTTTCACTGTGCGGCGGTGGGCCGCCTCATGTCGCGTCCAACGAGCTATGGAGAGTTCCACTGAAAGGCCAGCTTTGAAGTACAATAACCACTTTGTAAAAGTCTTGCAGCATGAGTAATCTTCAAACGTTAATCTGCAATGCGCCAGTTTCACTTTCACCACTTTTTGACGCCTTGATTTCTTTCTTGTCTGCGGTGTATGGTGGCAAACCCAGCAAACCATAGTAGTCCTGAGCACCAAGAAGTTGGCGAAGCATCCATAGTGAAAGTTTTTCCCGTCATTTGGTAACGGTATCTCCATGTCTTTTCGCTGCACCCATCCATTGCTAGTTGCTTCATAATCCCATGCGATAGGTCACTGTGTTTATTCTCAGGGTCCTTGTGCGTGTTGGACCTACATCGAAAACTGGCGAAGCCACTTTCATGTTTGTTTGAAGAACCAGCATTCTTGGTTGAACCATGTTGAACCGCATATCCCAAAAACTTCAGCCCCTATTCTTGCTAAGTAAATCCTCACTATTCCTCATTGTTGCATCTTAAAGCTGCGTTTTTTGTGTTTCAATATCCCAATTTCTTGGCATCACTGCCACGTCTCCGTGGGTGCCAGCTCCACCGCGCGCCGCGTCACGCGGCAACGCCGCCGCGACAGCAGAGCTCCCGTGGCTAAGGCCTCGAGGAACTCACGGAGATCAACTTCCTTATTTTATGGTATTAAAACAATAGCCATTTATAGTGGATTTACCCATTAAAAATGGTGATTATCCATAGTTATTATGGATCAATACCTATGAAAATACCATTTTTAGGGGAGTGAACATCCATAAATCCCAGCTATTTTGATGTGAACAGAAGGGGTACTATTGGTTTTGACACACTGCCATATGTGAATATTACCAATCGATATTACATATTACCTTAGTAATATTAGTAATACTGATGAATCCACTATGATACTTGCCATTACTATTACGCATAGTTATATTACTGATATTCTCAATGTTGTTACTGTTACCATGATATTGTTTGCTCAAGCAGGCCAGCAAAGAGAAACGTGGATGCTATTGGCACGCGGTCTCTGAGCTGAGTCGTGTGCTGCATGCGAAACTGGACCACCATGGGAAGGCAGTAAGCCAAGTCTTCCAGGCTCAGCACTAGTATCATTGTGATGGATGACAGGCTTTTTTGAGTAGGGATATATTCCCGTTTACTGTATACTCCATAAGTACCTGATATTGCACCTCTTTCTTATTTACCTCATCAACTGGGTATGGCTCAAGTCTTTGGGGTGTCAAAATGGGCCCGCAAAAGGCTTGTCAGTTGTGGATATCAAGTACGTTTACCTGAAAAAGCTGAGGAGATAGAGACACTGTAAATTCGATTTATTCGTATCTATGAATGGTACTTATAATGTGGGAAAAAGCATCCTGTTTACTCATGGTTATGAAGCCAGGGGTGGATGTACAAAAACCTATGACTTTGCTGGTGTAGCGAATGTGTGTTCCAGATTCAGAGCCACGATGCTTAAGCTGGATGTTGAAAGGCTGCCCTCCAAAAAAGTATATGCGTATATATGATATACATTGATATACATTGATATACATTGATATACATTGATATACATTGATATACATCATATAATATCATATAATCATATATATATAATATATATACACACGATTATATACGTACAGTATATTGTTTACAATATTTGACATATGCACACACACACATACATGACACACACACACACTAGATCAAGAATGGATCATTATATGATCCGGCAGGAACTGAGTCCTGAAACATGCAGATTAGACAGGAGCCGAATTAATATACGATATATATATATATCACAGTGGACAATGACAGTATAAAACAACAGCGAAAAATATATTATGTCCCCCCAGCTGCGTCTTAAATGCGCCCAGGGCGGGACAGGCAGGTACGTTTACCTGATCTCCAGTGTGGAGCTTCGTTGGCAGAGGCCACAACTGGAGATCCCTCTGCCCCCTGCCATATGTAATATAATATAAGGACGAAGTTTTACGTCTATTCAGACGATACACACACACACATAATCTAGACTCAGGTGCTGTGGGTGGCGCCGCCAGCGCAGCAATGCTCGGTCTCCAGCGGCGACTGTGGCCGCGGCCACTGGGCCGACTGGTACCGAGCCCCACCAGGCCACTGGTGGCCGACCACGGCGCAGCTAAAGCCATAGATCCAAAGGGATCCAAAGGGGCTGGAAATCAACCAGCAAGCGGTGATTGAAAGATATTGGAAGTCTCTTCTGGTGTGGATAATCTATGGCAAGCTGGTTAAAGGTTGTTAAGCATGTGCAAGCTCAGTCGCTTGAACCGTGCCTTATATAATCAGAAGGTGCGGCGGCGCCAGCAAAAATGTCAGAGTGCTACCTTTTTGGCCGCATCCACTCCACAAGCATCTTTGTGCATCAGGTTTTGCATATTGATGTTTTACACTCTGTATGTGTGTTAGAAATTCAGGACATTCATCTTTCTGCGCACGTCATGTGTCACATACACGCATTTCATGGCACAAAAGCCTGAGCCAGCATTCTGCGGCTGCTGTGGCCTGCAATGAGGGGCAACCTCCAACTGCCAGTAACTTCCTCAAGCGGCTACGGGCACAACGTGACGTGACCAGCTCCTGGCGAATAGTCAGCTTGGATTTCCTGGCGCTCGGAAAGCTGAGGTGAAAATATGTGAAAGTTCTGTGAAATGGTGAAGTCAAGGGAACCCAAATATCTGCCTGTCATGTGCCATTAGTCACTCCATATTCACACCATGTTTTGCAAAACATGGAAAAATTGTGTGCTCCTTAGATTCCTTAGATCAGCGATTCCTGCTTCCTGGGAGGTGCCCACCTTGGCTCTGACCATGCACAGCTGCTGCTCTTTCCTCAACTGCTCCTGTCGACCCAAAAGGAATCCCATGGAAGCGCCCGAAGTCTGGACAAAAGAATTGGAAAGTGCAAATCGTCATGGAAAAACATTGAAAAATCGTCTAAGTTGTTTTGTTCCTCCAGTTCCTCCAGAGAAAGATCTGCACATGCCATGGGTATCACGGTTTTCTGTCGACATCGCCACATCGTCCCATCTTCTGCGGCCTGGCGTTGCCGGATCTTCTGCAACGCCTCAGGCATCGAACATCTCTGGTCTCTAGACATCTTTAGCCTGGAACTTCTTAGGGAAATCTTCTGGAATCTTCTGATTCTTGATGGATCTCATTCTGCTTCCTCATGCGCCTAATACCGTTGATACAAATCTGCGCGTGTGTTTCAAACGAATGTCTGCCTGCGCGGATGTCATGGCAGCAAGGCTTTTGGCACGTTCCAAGTCCTGGCGCAGAAGCTTTTGGCCAATTGAACATCACCCACTTTAAGGGGATAAAGTTTGATAAAGAATCTGGGTAAATTATAATATTTCACTAACCTGAATTAAGGCCATTTGGGGATGATTTCCCTTACTAACCATGATTTCCAGTGAGGTCGCAGTGAGGTCGTTATAATTTACCCAGAAGAATGATAAAGATTCTTCAAGATTGTTTAAAATCCTAAGACCACAACTACATGTGCCGGTCTTGTGTGGTCAAGTCCACCGTGTGTTGGTATTTGGAATCCTGAGTGTGGTGCTAGTTTCTCCACATTGTGAATAGACATTCCCTTTTTTCTGATTTTACAATGTTCTGTCCTCTACGGTACCCGGCGGTTACAAACCATTCTTGTCGGTATTCGGTGACCACTTGAAGTATGAGGCAATGAGCTGCAACCATATCAAATCATGATTTGAAATTGATAGTGCTTCATAAGTGAGTCTGGATGTCTTCGTGTTTTTTGAGCTATTAATTGGCTTTGATGCCTCATTACCAGCCAAGCTTACCTTTCGATTTCAGATTCAGGGATAGCCCCAGAGCCTTTCGCCCGCCTGCATGTGCTTCGCTAATTCATCGTTCTGTCGCTGCAGAACACTCATGTCCTACGACCGGTTCAGCTTCAAAAACAAAGACTGCCAGAATTTGGAGCCCCAACTATCCAACAACTATCCAACAACTATCCAACAACTATCCAACAACTATCCAGCAACATCCAACAACTATCCAACAACATGACAAAACTACACTTCAACATAATTCAACCATCCAATATTCATCCAACCAGATCCAATCCTCCAGATCCGCAAAGCTATTGGGCTTCATGGGGGATCGCCTCGGCGAAAGATTCGGAAATCACCAGAAAACTTGAGAAGATTGGTAAAGTCTGGCATCTCAAATGAAATTCTACTGATTCTACTGCATAATTACTGCATAATTACTGCATAATTACTGCATAATGTGCCAATATGTGCCATCATTTGATCCTTTTGCTGAAAAATCCTCAGCCTGGGCTCCCCGGCAGATCTTCCAGAACTCGTGGAGCCATGTCCTGCGACACAGCCCCAGCCGTCCCATCCCAGCCATCCCCCAGACCCATCCCTGGTCACAGCGCCTGGGGCTTGGGAGGTGTTGATTCCTCAATGAGGTTCAACCCAAGACCAGTCAGAGGGCTCACCTCAGATATCGGCGATATCTCATTGTGACTTTCAAGGGTCCAAGGGGGGCTCTGAACTTTTGTATCTTGGGGTATTGGTTGCAAAGGTGTGAAGATGTTTATTGATGTTTCATGTTGGGATTTAATGTTTCTTCCTTGGTTCTGATGTGTTTATTCAAGGCGGGTTCTGGGGACATACAAACATCCCCATTTCCCACGTGTTTCATATTCTTCGCCCTGCATTCAGTGATTGAACATGACATCACTCGACAGAATCGCTTTGACAAAACGACACAAGGGTGGTGTCGCACGGTGTTGCTGCATATGGTTGAGATGGAGCGACCATAGATCTCCTAATTGAAGGTTTTGTCGTTGAATCCTTCAGCCTTCCCCTCTTGGGATTTGGGCAGTGGTTGGATAAAAGAAGGGATCCGTGGGTCTGCGATCCCTGTACCTCAGCCACAGATGACCACAAGACGTCTGGCATACTGCTATCAGGGTGGGTCTGCTGGACAGCTGGCTTCATGTATTTGAATCAAATAAAAAAAGTCTTGAGATGCAAAATCAACTTGCATGGCCGATGCACTGCGTTTGGGTCGACTCCAATCTGATTCCAACAGGGTATCATCATGTATCATCTGTGTCTACATGCGTGACGGCGTGACACTTTTAAGCCATACCAAGCCGCACGCGGGTGCCACACCCGGCCCAGGGGGCGTCCTTTTTTCCACGCGGCCACACCGGTGTCATTTCAGGAGCGAGGCACGGAGCCGGGCAGCGCGGTCCGGGTCCTCCTTCAGATCGCGGCAGTTGCGAATGATGCCCTGCACAGAGATGGTGAAAACCGGGGACCATCGGGGACCATTTAGGAGGTCTAAGGATGCAGAGGTGAGGTTAGAGGATTCAGTTGTGGCATAGTTCGGGCAGTGTGGTCACTCGAAGAACAGAACCAAATGACCAACCACTTGTTTCCATTTGTGTACAATTCCATTTAGGACTGCCGGTCAATGCTCCCAGCATCTTGGTTTGGCATCGCTTTGCCCCGAAGTCTGGGGACCTGTTTCTTGCTGCAAAAAAAACACTTCCCGTGCAGAAAGTCACTTCAGACTTACAGTATCTCAAAAGAACACGGGTAGGAGATTTGACACCTCTAAGGCATCTCAAACCATCAATTTCTCGCCCGTTTCCAGCCCCACGACCTCAGTCTTCAGGGCGGTGAGCAGTTTTGGAAGGCCACTGCCCAGTAGAACATCAAACTCTTCATCCAATTCCTGGGCTGCGATGATCTGCTGATATGAGGTGCGCAATGGGGGAAGGCATTATTGGTATCCCAAAAATGGTGGGGAAAAGACTGGCTTGACATCCAAAAAATTGGTGGATACCTACCTTTTCATCCTCGCAGAGCTTGGATAGAAAGGCCAATAAGTCGGAAAAAATGTGTGGATGCTCAGAAACAGAACGCATCAACCTGAAAGAGATATCAACTCGCAGTTTCACATCACCGGAAAATGATCATCCACTTGGGGAGTTGCTGTGACATCGCTGCATCGTGCCATGCAGAAAAAATGCAGCGCGCAAAGCAATGTCATGACGTAGGTATCCAAACAAATGACCCACACCGGTAAAAATGATCACCCCGATTATATAATTTGTTCGGGCAACTTGAAAAACACCAGCTGAATCTGTATCAATTATATATATATATATTTACACCCACAACTAATTTTATATAATTAACATCGTTAGAAGACATTGAGACAACCAAGTTCTAGAAATTGCATCGTCGTTTTCATGTTTTGCGACTCCGGTTTTCCTTTTTTTATAATGTTATTCTCATGTTGTTTCATCTTCATCATCATCATCATCATCATCATCACCATCATCATCATCATCATCATCATCATCATTTTGTTTTCTTCACGTCCGTTCGTTATTCCCGCTTGAAACCCCAACAACATCAACAACTAGTTCAAGCAGGGACCAGCAGAGCCAAGTGGCCGCCTCGCGCTCTTGGATCTGCTGACTCGTTGCAGCCACCAACTCTCGCATGGCTGCCAGGTGCATTTGCCTCGCAGGACGAGGGGCCGCGAGATATCATGGAATTCATCAAAATTCTATGGGGCCCAGTGAAAATTGGTTATAGTATGCGGAGACCAGTTTTGGGTGAAATGACCAGTTTATTCTGAGATGAGTAAGGAGTGATCATTCACCATGATGATTGTGGGGACTTTTCCCAGAAAGGCGACACGTCGTGGTTCAGGTGTTTGTTGCTGACCAGATCGTTGCAACGAGACATTGCACGGAGGCAAAAGCGTGCCAAGAGCATTTCCCTGTTCCTCCCTCAGTATCAGACTTCTGCTTGTAGAGTTCTCGGAAAAGCGTTGCATTCTTGACCTCCGGTGCTCCTCGCGCGCGTCTCATCTAAAGGCATCAAGTTTTGCATCAACTGTGTTACAAACGTGTGTGTGCGTGTGCTCTTTATATATATATATATTTAAATACATATATATATACATACATACATACATACATTACATTACATTACATTGCATTACATTACATTACATTACATAACATAATATAACATACATAGCATGCATAACATACATAACATACATAACATACATTACATACATTACATAACATAACATAATATAACATACATAGCATACATAACATACAAAACATACAAAACATACATAACATACATAACATACATAACATACATACATACATACACATATACACAAATACATATATATATACAAATGTACATATATACATGTATATGCATATATGCATATTTGCATTTATACATATATACATGTAACATATATACATATATACATATATGTGTATACATATATACATATATACATATATGCATATATGCATATCTACATATCTACATTTACATATATATATATATGCGTGTATACATTTAAGCATGCCTACAAACTTTACCCTACCATACCATACCATACCATGCCTACTTTCATACATACGTACATGCATACTTACATACATACTTACATGCATACATACAGACATACCTACCTACATACATACATATACATATACATATACATATACATATATATATATATATATTATTGGTGTATGTGTACATGTATATTATATGTGTTTATATAATATAGACATATATACATTATATATATATATGCACGTGTTCACTGTATACAGGTATCATAAGTAAATTTGGAGCACAAGCAACTTCGATGGTTCCACCACCTAGCATTCTTTAGGTGTGCGGTCCTGAAGGTTGGAACAGTGGAGGCACTGGCTTCAGCCCCTCAGGAGCCTGTAAACTGCTGGCGATGCCCATCAGCTCCAGTTGAAGCTCCTGAAACCCCAAGGCTTGGGTAGATTTGCTGGGGAAGATCCATTTAGATCGATTAGATCTTGACAGGTGTCAGAAACAGGGGTTGTACTTGCTTAAAATCAGATTCAAGTGTACTTAAGATGTTCAACTACTTACTAAACAAATCTAAAGAAACAGTCAGAAAAAGTACCGCAAAAATCATGACTCAACCCATGCGCTGCGAGCGCGGCCGCGAGCCCCACCTTTCGCCGCTGCTCGGCAACGATCCGCTTCTGCCGACAACTTGCAAAGCTGCTCCTCACCGGAGGCAATGGAGAATCCTCATTGGTATTGTAAATGCGAATGTATCTCTGCGTATAGGTATAAGATGTATATACATCTATACGTATATATGTATATTACTTATTGCTTTGGCATCTTTCTGTGTTAGGGGCCATAGCTACCCAGGATCTATTTATAATATATAGTTTTATTTTTTTACTTATTTATTTGTGTTCATGTATACATGACATGTACCTAATATGTATCTATGTATCTAAATATCATGTTACATAACATAACCCCATCTGCAAATGGACAATGTTCCACTGATTCGCTTGCTATGCTTCATGGCAGAAGGAACCTAGTTGGAAAAATTTGCCTGCCATTTTGCAGTGAATACCTATGCCACTTACATACCCTGCAGAAAGAACGCCTTGGCTGGCTTAGCGGTTCAATCCTGTTTCCCCTCTCCATGGGTAGTTTACATGTGTTAAAATCAGCATGGACTTTTGCTCTGGCACTACTAAGAACCTGATAAGTCTTGACTCCGATTGTCTTCGTAGATCCTCCATCACATTTACATGTGACATGTCAATCCTCAGACTCACGATTTGTGTTATCTACATTTATCATAAAATTTATCTACTTTCCTTTGACATCTCTTGCGGATCTCACAATTTAACCATCTGACCAGCCATCTCCGCCTGGACACGCCCATGCGTTTCTGCCGCAGAGTCTCCAACTTCTCTCGCAGAGTGTCCGCCTTGCAGGTAAAACTCCGAAAAGAGATGGCCTGGGCTCAAAACTATGCTATCCCCTACAAATCCCTATATGTCTATCTCTAGAGTGTCCATCATTCTTAAATCTGCAAACACACACAAACACACAGACACATACATACACACACTTGCTCAGAATTGCTTATCGACTTGTGAAGTTGGAATGCATCTAACCTGCAAAAACGGGTGTTGCTTGGATCGGGGTCGTTGGATCGGAATCTAGATTGGTTGGGTCGGCGCGGCTGGATCGGAATCTGCATTGGTTGGATCGGGACAGTTTGGATCTGGACGGTATAGAAACTTTGCGGGCTACCCCGACCGTCCGGACCATCCCGACTGTCCCTAAAGAACCCGAAAGAAAAGAAACCTTAAAAGAAACCCTGAAGAAACGACCATCCCGACCGTCCCGACCCTCCCGACCGTCCCGACCCTCCCGACCGTCCCGACCATTTGTACACGATGCTGATCCAGGATCGAGTTTGTGACGCTGATCCGAACGTTTAGTTTAGATGTTGATTCCCGTGACGCTGATTCGACCTGATAGTTTCCAATCCGGAAATTACTCGTGCAGAAACAACACCAGTAAACCTGACAGGGGGAGGAAGTGCATTCAGGAGTGGAAGTCTCTTGTCCACAAAGTTGTATCCATCGACGTCAACGTTTTCCCAACAAGATTGGAACTGGCCCTTCCCTTCCTTGTCGCAAAAGAATTCAAATAATCCAAAGAAACCAGACATGAATCGCCATAGTCCAAGTAAAAATGTCCAAAATGTAGTGCCCTTTGCTCGTTGTTGAGAATAATAAAGCCAAACAAACACGGAGAAATCAAAAGTCAATGTTCAGATTGCGACAACAGTACAGGAAAATTGAAACACGGTTTGGCAGTTCTTGGCTTGGCCGCTTGCCATGCGAAGTGGGAAATTTAAGCAGGTGCAGAGCTGATCAGGCTCTGTATCCCATACAATCAGGTAGCTTCGTTGGACGCGGTCCCTGATTGTATGCCACGTCCCCCTGCAACCCTGAGAAAATCTCATCGAAATCTCCAACAAGGTACAAGTTTTACATCTATATTGAGAAGTTACACAAACACACAAACACACACCTTCTATGAATGAGACATCAGGGTTTACATGATGCACGCAGGTTTCCATCGCCCAACAGAAGTCCCCGCTCAACAGCCACACTTTTGCGGCGCGGACTCTTCGCCAAGCTTTGGGTACAACTCCAAGGAGCAAAGCTAAGTTGGTGACCAAAAAACCAGGGGTTGGCGAAGTCCCCACTCTGATGTTGCGAAAAAATATCAAAGTGGTTGGACCAAAAGCCCCCCCTGGCAGAAACGTCCAACTCGCGCTGGATTCCGTGGACCCCTCACAACTCGGACTTTCCTCTGGTTGTGTCACCCACCTGCAGTTCATGGCAGATCACAAGTGGCCAAAATATACCACGTGGCCGCTATAAATGGTACAAACACATATCTATGTATGTTCTACAACATGTAAATATGTATGTGTATACATTCATATATACTGTAAGTATGTATCTGCAAATGTGTGTATTTATATAATTACAGGATGTTTCATACTCAAATACATTCAAGTCAGTAGGCTGTTGTTACAAAATATAAATATGCATGTGCATGTATACATGTGTGCATGCATGCATGGATCTATGTATGCATGTATACAATGTATACATACATGTATGTATGGATGGATGTATGGATGGATGGATGGATGCATGGATGCATGGATGCATGGATGCATGGATGCATGGATGCATGGATGCATGGATGTATGGATGTATGGATGGATGGATCTATGGATGTATGGATGTATGGATGGATGGATCTATGGATGTATGGATGTATGGATGTATGGATGTATGGATGTATGGATGGATGGATGGATGTATGGATGGATGTATGGATGTATGGATGTATGGATGTATGGATGTATTGGTGTATGGGTGTATGGATGTATGGATGTATGGATGTATGGGTGTATGGATGGATGTATGGATGTATGGGTGTGTGTGTATGGATGTATGGGTGTGTGTATGGATGTATGGGTGTATGGATGTATGGATGTATGGATGTATGGGTGTGTGTGTGTACGGATGTATGGGTGTGTGTATGGATGTATGGGTGTATGGATGTATGGATGTATGGATGTATGGATGTATGGGTGTGTGTATGGATGTATGGGTGTATGGATGTATGGATGTATGGATGTATGGGTGTATGGGTGTATGGGTGTGTGTATGGATGTATGGATGTATGGATGGATGTATGGATGTATGGATGTATGGATGTATGAATGGATGTATAGATGTATGGATATATGTATGGATATATGTATGGATCCATGGATGTATGTATGTATGTATGTATGGATGTATAGATGTATGTATGTATGTATGTATGTATGTATGGATGGATGTATGTATGTATGTATGTTTGTATTTGTACGTGTGTGTATATATATATATATACATGTACAGGATGTTTCATATTCATACACATATTTAAGTCAGTAGGCTGTTGCTCCATGAGCTCAAGTCCCATCTTACCGCCATGGCACATCCACAGGTGCCCCAAGGGGTTGCCAGTATTGGTTCAGGTTGCCCTCCATGGCAGTGAGGCTTTCCATCTCGGCAGGCGACAGTTCCAAGTCAAAGACCTTCAGATTCTCCGCGATGCGATGCCTTGAGACACGTCAGTTCCACGTCAGTTCCACGTGTCTCCATGTCCCGGAAAACGAATCCAGTGGAATGGCTGAGACTTGTCAGGCCCTATGGCTGGCTGGGATTAATAATTTAATAATAGAAACAGTAATAATACTAATAGTAATAGTAATGATTTACTAACAATAATAATACGAATAATATCTAATGATACTCAAATATACTGAAATACTAACCATGAGACTAAGAAGAATATGATTGGATATGACGTGGTATGACTGACTATAAAACTATGGTTGGTTGATGGTTAATTTGGTGGATATTAAATTTCTGGGGAATATGATGTATTGTGTGAATTTGTATGATGTATTGTGCTGATTGGCTGATAAAGAATGCCTAAGGTGGATCATAGTGATCCCCATGAAACCAGTATGACCCTGAATAATCATCAGCCACCAGATGTTTACAGCGCTCACCCAGAGCTTTAAGACATCCGAAGCCGACGCGTTATGGAACCACGGGCCTGTCATGGTGTGCTTTCTTCCTTTCATTTCCTGTCTCAATGTCTTGGTTGGTTCTAATTACATCCCCGTGTAATGCATATCTATATATATATATGTATATATATACTGTATATACATATAATCATATAGTTATATATATATATTTGTATATATATATATACGTATGTATATATATATACCCACTATATCCACATTATATGCCAAGAAACTGCTTGACACTTTTGGGGATGATTTGGAAGCCCATCTGTAGCGCCCATCGCAGGAGCACGTGTGCACTGCTGGAACTGTGAGCCTTCACAATGTCCGTCACTTCGGATCGCTCCAAGAACTCAGGTTTTCCTTCACTGACGGTGTCACGATTTCTGGCCTCTTTAAACGGCTTCGTTTTGGAATACAGAAACTGGCTGGTTGCGAAACGGGAGTATGGATAGTTACTGCGGTTTTTGTAAATGAAGTGTGAATGGTTTCAAATTTCAATGGTTTCTATAACGTATATGCTAAGTGGTTTCTATGATGTATATATTTCGGCGGTTTCTAGATGTCTGGTGTTTTTGAAGGGTTTCTGTGATTTTCATGGTTCCTTTTCTATGCTTCTTATTGTTTCTGTACGTTCCGTGGTTTCTATGATTTCTATATAGTTGTTCGGTGGCTTCTATGGTTTCTGGATTGTTTGATTGTGTTGTATTTGTATGATGGTTTCTAAGGTTTCTATATGTTTAGCCGATTTGAATGCTGTCTATTTTTCAGTGGTTTCACATCTTCAGTGGTTTCTATGGTTTCTATACGCTCGATTGTTTCTACTGTTTCTGTGGATTCTAAATGTTTATTTGGTTTCTATGGTTTCATTGTTTCCATATTAGTTCGGTGGTGTCTATGATTTGTATGGTTGTGTTCCTGTTTCATCTTCAGAAATCTGCTGCCTGTCTTTGGGGGATGGTACTGTCTATGTTGTATGTGGTGAAACAGATTCACTTGATAATTGAAAGGTCCTTGACTTGGAATCTGAATCTTCCTCATATAGGCATATAGGTATGCTGTACAGTATGTGGTAGATCATGGTAGATCTACCGATCTTCCCCAAGTTCACCCCATCTCACCATATTTCACTTTGAATGGTCGAAAAAGGTGAGCCAAGACTCCAAAAAACAAGGAACCGTACGCTTGGACAAGGATGCCATTCTGCTTGCAAAAGTCCAGCAAGGAGATGCGCTCCTGAAAGGGATGAAGCATGATGAAGCATGATCAAATTGAAAAAAAAAACACCCACTATTCGGATATATTCTAACATCAAGTTGCAACTTGACTTAGCACCAGCGAGCCAATCAAATAGCAAAACAAGAACTGCGTTGGACTTCAAGTCCTGATACTTCATGGGATGCATCTCGATCTGATTCACGGTGGGCATGGGACGTCCATGCTCTTTCAGTGCCTCCAAATGCTGAACTCCGAAATTGGAAACTCCGATGGAGCGGATTTTGCCCTGCTTTTGCATGTGGATCAGGGCATCCCAGGTTTCCACAATTTTTCCTGGTGTGGAAGATGCAAAGCTGTGTATCAGCCAATCAAAAAGACAACAGAACCTTTCGGTGGAGCCGAACTTCAAAACGTCAGACAGCGACAGCAGCGGAAAACATGACTTCGAGTGCCCAAGCACGAATGAGTACCGGAATCTCTTGTGATTTTGTTCACTCCTGCCTGTGTTTGGAGAATGGATGAGGTACAAATCCAAGTATTCGACCTTCATTCACCGCACTGGGTCAAAGGGCTCGATCACTTGGGACAGCCATGAAAAAAGTTCCGAACTTATTTCAAACGCGAGTTTGGTTTTAGCCCTTAACCAAAGATCTTCGAGAACATCACCTCACGAATGCTTGAGCTGAGAAAAGCTGGGCCCCTCCGGATCTTCCCAGGACATAAGCTGATTCTGTGGTACGTCAGCTGGTTGTAACCAGTCTTCATCCTGAGTTCATCCTGGGTTAAAACTGTGGTTCCAAGAATTGAATTGCACAGCCCAGAAAGGTACCCAGCCTAGTTGTCGTCCGCTGCTTCAATTTTGACCCATACCCAAATGGTACGGATAACGATCCTGTTACCCTGCTTATAGACAGACCTTCATGTCCCCATTCATATAGAAGATCATCTTGATCCCAAGCTAACAAATGAGTTTGTCTGAAAAAAAGTGCAATAAATAGGGTACCCCCAATTCCAATGGGATTATCATAACTTTCCCATATTTTCCCATATTTTCCATTATTTTTCCCATATTTTCCCATATTTTCCCATATTTTCCCTATTAAATCCTATTAAGATAACCATCCACCACCGGACCTTCAACTTCTTAAGGCTCGTCTCTAAGCCCTGGATGGTCGCGTCATAGCCATGATCCGAGTCCCAAAGCCTCGGCGCTTGGCCTTGTTAGATCATGGGCATATGAAACATTGCATATATATATATATAATATATATATAATATATATATAATATATATATAATATATAATATATATAATATATAATATATAATATATTTAATATATAATATATAATGTGAACAAATGAATCCTTGTTCTGGATGTAGTCGAATGGTAGTACCTTGTGTGCTAGTTATTACCGAACCTCACTCAGGCATTGCAGTCAGCGCGCACTGCCGTTTTCCTCTTGCGGGCGCTTGAGCCAGTAATGGCCGTAACATTGTCCATTGTTACATGTGCTACCGCTGTGTTCCCTTTGACACCCCCCATGCCCGTGGTATTCTTCGAACCACGGACACGAGAGAGGGAACTTTGAATTAGATTGTTTCTGCTACTTGAATTACGCCTATGTACATAAAACGTGCCATTCGGCTCCCCCTTCCCCACATACCCGTCGGGAATAATGGTTCAGGGTTCGCCTACTCTCTGGCTGTCGATGCTTCGGCGCTTCATCAAGCTGTACAACGCGAATTATTGCTAGCTAACATCTACTTTTCTACGTTGGCTAGGCATACCACTCACCCGTCGGGAGAAATGGATCGCTTCGCTACTAAAGATTTACAATGCTAACTAACGAATTCACGTGCACAGTGCAGAATTCGTGCAGATTGGGAATATCAAAAATCTTGAACCTAAGCGAATTAGTCTACTGCCTCGCTCAGAGTCCACTCAGTTGATCCTTTCCTGATCATCTGTTCACAAAGACGATACACGTCTCATATTCCAGCGATCATTTTTACGGATCGAAGTAATTGGTTTACTGCTCACGGCGGACTTTCTTCCATTGAGGTGCTGTTGGAGTTCTCTCCCATCCTGCCGCACGTTTCGGAGCAGCTTTCGGCGATGAAGGTTTTGCAGGCGGTGCCTTTGATGGTTCATGGGATTTCGGCATAGCCTTGCCCTTTGGTGCACTAGCCGATGAGGATGATGCTGAACCAGTGCCTTCAGGTGTCTGTGAAGGTTGCGCAGTTGGTTTAGCAAACTTAGAAGCTGCAGTATGTCCAACCGATTTGAATACTTCACTCACCACTTCGTCGCCAAGGGTTGGAGCCATCTTCGTTTTCATTTCGGTCTTTCCCCTCTGCGCCTCGGCCTCGGCCAGCTGAATAGCATAAGCCATCTTGCTGACAAAGTTTTGAGGTAAAGGAATGCCACATTGTTGGGCTGCAAAGAGCAGTTCTACTCTCTGTTCTTTCTCCCTCAGGCTCAGATATACCGAGAAGGCTGGGAGTTCGATGCAGTTGGGGAAGCCGTGGCTCCCGGAGCGAGAGAAGGTGTATGACTCGTGCTCCGGAAAGGTTCCTTTGAGCAATCGTCGAAGGAAATTGCTGATGGTTACTCGCATCTCCTGTTTCCCTTGGGCATCAGCCTGCATTCGGTTCATTGGCATGAGAAAGCCTAATGACTCAGGAGTGTACCCAGCGCGTACCAGAAATTCCATCATCTTCTCATAGATCTCTAAAGTCTTGATGACAGGCATCATCATGTTTCTTGGTCGCCCTGAGTATAACTTCTCTCCTTCTGACCATGAATTCCTCTTCCCTTCCTGCTGAAAGAGTTCATCCAATTCCAGCTCCGTCGGTCGCTTGAGGTTGCCATCCTGGTCTTCTCCTGTATAAGGACAGAAGTCGTCCAGGTCCAGCCGGACTCGCTTGGTTTCCGTCATCATCTCATAGTACTCCTCTGGGGTCAGAGTGACTCTCTGTTTGTAGTAGAGCCTGAACATTGTGATGACCTTTGACATGACAGCATTGTCATACAAGTGAGCCGCGGCCTCGGAGACATCGTTGTTGATAAGTCCGTCTTCTGGCATACCCTTGCTGCCGCTCTCGAGGTTCTTGGTCCATGCTGGAAGCTTGGGAGAGGATTCATCTTCAGGTTCGACTTCCATTTCATCGTCGTCTTCTTCAACGATTTCGTCGTCTTCCTGTTGGGCTTCCTCCTCCTGATCCATTTCTTCATCATCGCCTTCGTTGTAGTCGACCTCGTCGGGATTGAAGCCATAGTCGTTGGATTCGGATACGTTTTCTTGTGCTTGATGGACCGTATATCCTTGAACAACGATTCTTCTTGTCGACGAACTTCTTCATCGATCTCTTTCTTCGTGGCCTCATCTTCATCGTCTTCAGGAGCTTGTAGCCGGTAGGGACGGATTCCACAACTTTCCAGTTCCGTCCAGCAAACTAGACACACCGCTAGTTTTGTCGGCGTCTCATTGAGACAGTGAGGACAATGGCGGCAACCTGATGTTTGCACCCTTTTGCGTTCGACTATGTAGTCAATCAGCTTGATGCGAGCCAGGTATTGTTCTTGTCCGCCAGGCTTGATGAGGTCGTTCTTGAATTGGTTGACGATGTTCATGGCATCCATGGCGGTTTCGTCAAACGGTTGATCTTCGGCGTCGATGCATTGACTTGCAACCCTCAAGATGGACTCTTTGGTGGCTACCGTTCTTGATTTGACAGTTCCAGACCGGACTACCTGGTCGTCGCCCGACGGGACGAACAACCGGAGCCATGTCTTATTGTTTTGGTCCTTTGGGTCCTGAATCCATCCTCCTTTGATTGCCGAGAACGGGATGATCTTTGGTGAGACGATCTGTCCCGAGTCAGTCAGTCGACCGCCATATTCCACCATCAAGGTCTCGGTCGGGATGAACAAGCAAATGTAGTCCCCCTTTCGCGTATCAACGCTCTTCGTGATAGTCCATGATCTGTGATCCCATGGCACATACGGATTGAAGAACGTGAACATCCGATGACCTTCTCCAAGACCTCCTGGAATTAATCCCTGCCTCCAAATGCTTCGAAGGTTGGTCTTCTTGGTGATGTGGAAACAAACCGGTAACGACAAAATGGTGTTGGGCGCGATTGGATGTGAAAGTAATGAGGACAGCAATGAGACGTCGTCCCTCGAAGATCCTTCCTTGTGCCCCGTAGGAGCACGGACCGCCACAGGGTAGAGCAGTAGACCTTCATCAGGAATGTTCGTGTTCGCATCGACTTTGTTGTCAATGCACGTCAGGCTGGTGCGCTCGATGTCCTTGTTGATACCAAATGCCAACACTTGTTCACGAACACGACGTCCATACCGGGCACAGTGGAACATAATCTTGAAGAGCAACGTCATGCGGTAGTTTGCCTCATCGACATTCCATGCACTCTGATCATTTGCTCTTCCTTTTGGAGCAAGGAATACATGTGGCCAGCGTGCGTACTCGTGCCTCCAGATGGACTCACATTTGAGCACCTCCTCGATGGGCACCCAGCCGGCGTCATCACATGACAGACTCTGTTGTTCTGATACCTTCCCCACGTTGTGCCGCAGGATCCTGTTTAGTGATGTACTCACCTTGTCCTCGTAGGCATTGAGTCGGTTGCCAGTCTCGAATCGGTAGTTGGCCGCATACTCTACACCGCCAAAGTAAGAGCAGTTGAAGAAATGGGCCCCCGTGGTCGGGATGATTTTCAAGAAACCATCTTGCGGCGCCTCGACTCTCTTGTAGAAGGGCTTCCTGATGTTGTTATCGGAGTAGCTTGCCATAAAGTCTGGCACTGACCAAGAGTCACCTCCTCCTCTGACAATAGCGTCTCTGACCACTTCGTTGAGGTCAACAATGTTCTGTGGTCCTAGCTTTGTCACATCACGTCCTTCTATGCAGAATCTGCCATACTCATCGAGGTCACCAACTTCAGACATAGTTCTGATGCTGTCGTACCATTGGTGTTCACCAAACCTCGATTTTGTGGGTTCATCCGTTTGCCCCGACCCATCAGTAGCACCTGAACCGTCCTTCTTGTGCTCAGGAGGCTCCATATCGACGTCATCAGATGTTGGACTATCAGCCTCGAGCGACGCTCGGACGGCCTTTAGCACTTTTCTGACTTCATCTCTCTTCTCATGTTCACATTCAAGATGGCCATGTTGGGTGCTACCACAATACAAGCACACGTTGACATCCTCAGAGACGGTGAAGAGTTTTCCCAACGCATCCAAAAGTTGCTGTTTCCCGGAATTCTCTGAGTCCTGACCACATCGGTGGGGTCGTTCGCTGGCTCATCAGCTTCCTCCTCCCCAGGGTGAGCCGACGACTCGTCACCTGGCTTGGCATCGGCATCAGTGCCCATGCTGGCGTCACCCCCTGTGATGTTGTTCTTCCTGCGATAATGAGAGAATACCTGATCCTTCTCCCAGTCCGTGAGGCAGCAGAAATTGGCCAGCGAATCATATCCGGGGATTGCGTGGATGAGCTTCATGACCCTTTCGGCTTCTGCAGTTTGCAGTGTGCAGTCGAAGGATCCCCGTCTCTTGTCATTGATTGTGCTCGAGGTTCGGGAGGTCGATGTGAATTGAGCCAGTGCCTTTTCCAATCCATTGAGATACTCAGCTGGATCAACACTAGCATTGAAAACATCTACGACTCCCTTGGCCATATTGGCCACGTCCAAGACACCAAGCCAGAACTCGATGATATCTCCAGTTTTCTCGGCAGATGCACGGGAGAATCCAAAAATCTCGTTCCTCTCCTTCACCTCGGGAACGGCAACCTTTTCGAAGAAGTCTTTGTATGCGACATTTCCGCAATCCTTTGTGACTCTATAGATCAAAAGCCACTTCTTTGCAACATCATCAAAAACTCTTTCGCGATATATGCTGAATTGCTTGCCGCGTCCGTTCCGGAAAATTTCCAGAGCTTGCCTCTTCGAAATTCTGACTCCTCCCATGTGAGATAGAGATTTCATCAAGTGCTCCCCATACGCCAACGATGCATTTGAAATCAACGAAGACGCAGTAAATGTGAGCCATGTTTGGAATCCTTGATTGATGTCAACAATGTCAACACCAAGATCCTCGAATGCAACCTTCAACCTGGCTGCAAGGAGTAGTACGGACTTCCTGGCCTCCAATGTGGGGGATGAGCGCTTGTAA